TCGTTCGTGAAATTGACGTTTTAGTACGGGAGGCTAGAACGGTGTTTGAAAGCCCAGAACTGGTGAGGGATTACCACGGCATACCGGGTTTGTCGTATCACGATAATTACATTGATGCTTAGAATTGACCTAGGTGAACTAGAATGGCATGATTAGGGGTGTATGAAATTTTGTGCTATATGTTGAACCCTGGACTGCTGTATGATATTATTGACTTGCCCTAATCGATATGGACATGGTTTATGCTGATGATTGTGTATATGTTGCAAATTGTGGGCTTGACTATTGATATTCCTTATGATGGTTCGAGAAGGTGATTGGGTATGATTTTTCATGATTGACGTATTTGAATGTACAAGTGGGAAAATATATATCCCATGGTGATTATTTGATGTTTAAGGAGGATGACTTGCACGAGAGTTTATCCCGAGGAAGTGCAATTATACGACTCCTGGTTATGTTGAGCCAATTGTAGTCATGTCAAGAACACGTCCAAGTAAGGAATTATGATTAAGCAAGATGAGATATGAATCATATATAAGGATACCAAATAAGAGTGATTTTGTCCCATGGTCAATTACATAGAAATTAGGGCTCCCCATGCTATTACTCTGTTATGATATGTTATGTCACACCCCTGATGTGGTGTTGACCGTTGATTCATCATGAGATATGACCACACCCAGAGTGGTGTCTAGTCCGATATTACCACACCTAGAGTGGTGTCAGGTCCGATGTGACTACACCGGAAATGGTGGGTCCGATATGACCACATCCACGAGATGTTTGGTTCGTATTCCCGGGAGAGTAATTAGCATGGGAGTAGCCAAGCGCCTATGATTAAAACATGATATGATGCATATGCATAAGTTAAGGTGGTTGAGTCTTTTACCTATTGGGATGTCGGATGGCTGAGGTCTGATCCTAGTGCTTTGGCTTGTTGCTAGATGTATGGTAGGGGCATGCTCTGTTATGAAGTCACGATGCTATGATTATCTCACTCAGCTATGAGCTGACCCTCTTTTATTCTTTTCCTCTGCTTATGCTATGTGTAAGTAGATCATCAACAGTAGCAAGTACATAGGTGTGAGCAGAACAAGCAGTTGAAGGCAGAATGATGTATTGTCTTCAACTATTCTGTGCTTGGACTACTACTCGAGATTTTGGCCAATGATCCACACCTTTTTGTAAAAATGTTTTTAGAATGTTTTTCATGTGCATACTAGCCTTTGATGTAGTGCGAGATATCCACAGGTGTGGAAAGTTTATGTTATATGTATATTTTGTGTAACTGTGTAAGTTGTGACGATTATGGTATGTATAAGTATGGTATGCGGTGTGGAGTATGAAAACTGTGACTATGGCAATGAAAGCCAATGTATATGGTTATGGGTATATGTGTATGTCTATGGATGCAGGGATTCAGATAAATTATTTTGTAGGATTTAGTTACAAGAACTGTTAGCCCATTACGAGAGTAATTCATGTCGAAATTTTATTTGGATAAATTTTGGTAATTAAAGTAACACCCGTTTTAAATTCCGCTGCAATTCTATGAAAAATATGATTAGGCAAAACGTACAGGGTAGGGTGTTCAGCTTGGTATCAGAGCTTGGTTTGTTTTATGCATTATGGGTATGCTACGTTCACTCTTGAGGACTGATCACCCTCGAAAGGGGAGGGAGTAGTCCATACCTGTATTTGCACTAAACTCTCCAGGATTGGGACCAAAGGTGATGATGTGTTGCATAGTCAGTTGCATATGGTCAAACATGATTTTGAGTATTTGAAGGAATCTTGAAAATTTTATGGTTTAAGAGATTTTTGAAAATATGTGGAGTTTTTATCTTGTTGTCCAAGTAATGATTTTGAAGAAAGTTTTGTTTCAACCAAGTGAGTAACTTGGTTAGACACAAATGGTGTGTGGATCAAACTAAGGCCAATGTTTCCTTTTAGTTTGCACAGAAGTACTTTCAGTGTTACTACTAACCGATCGAGAAGCATGGTGGCTAGTTATGCAATGCAGTTGATTTTAGATTATGCCAACAAGATGAGTTGTGGTGGTAGAGATTTTAACATGGATATGATTCTTGATGATTTGGTGACAACCATTTTGTAGGTTGATATAACCTTGTGTTAGTGGCAACCTACTTTGCAGGTTAACAATCTTACCTAATAAGTTCTATTTCGAACTTGTTAATGTGTTTTGTTGTGATAGCCCAGTATAGGTTTTTGAAACCTAAACATGAGAACTTAAGATGTTATGTGTTTAGTTATGTAGTTCAGATCTCCTAATCAAAGAGTTAGGTAGTAACAAGATAAGTGATAGTGTCTGCTAGGAAGGGACCGAGCGGATATGTACTATTGACTCAAGGATAGATTTCGGGGACAAAATCTTTTAAGGAGGGGAGAATTGTAACATCCCGATCCGGCTAAACCCATATTTCGATGGTTAGAAAAATATGTGATTTAAATTGAGTGTTTTGATAGTATTTCGGAATATTGATCGATCGGATAAGTATACATATTAATTATATATTATATAATTAAATAATTAAACAAAAGGAAATGTAAAAGAAAAGGAAAATGGAAAAGTAAGCGGTGGGAGCCGCTGTCTTAAATCTCCTCCCCCCACCTGTAACTATTTCCCCATCGTCTTTAATTCCATTCTTTTCCATTTCCGGCCGAGAGCAACAGAGTGAGAAGCAGCACGCACGCGAGCTCTGTAGGAAATTTTCAAAGCACAATTCTTGAGTTTCGGTGATCCAAAAATCCCGTAAGTAATGTCTAATCCATTCATTCATCGTAGTTTATCGATTTAGATCTTTAAAACGAGTTTTTGGTCAACGAATTTCTTGAATTCTCGATAAGCTATATTAGAGTTTTGGAGTATCCGGAAGGCGGATACAACCCAAATTTCTTATACGAGCTACCTGCGGCGAGGTAATTAATCCTTTGGTTCTAATCCATGAATTTCGGCAATTATTTAGGTCGGAGTCCAATCGCTAAATTTAGCTCCGGCTAGGGTTTGATGTGTTTTTATCGAGAATTTGATCTGGAGCCTAGAACTAACATTGACGGGGACACTGCAGGGGATATTAGGACGGTTGACACGCTAAAACACAACACCTAACAATGACCAAGTGTAACCAATGAAAGGGACTGCAATATAGTGGCACAAGTAATAAATATCGAATCCACGTGTCTCTAGAGTTACTATTACTCAGCTTTAGTTCATTATCTAGCAAACTAGATTAAGGATTGATTTATAAACTACTCTATTGACAACTCTACTAATTACAAGTTGGGAACTCACTTAGGTATGATTCCCCCTAGCTCCTCAATTAGGTCCAAGTTGCAATTACCTTTGGTTGATCTACTGATGATTAAACTGCGGAAGATCCTAAATTAGCTTGGAATCTCTTAAGCTGATAAAGCCCTCTCAGTCCAACTACCCGGCATGCGACTAACCTTCACCGGGATATAAAGTTGAGGCTATGAACACAGATCTCCACTACTGGAATGAATTCCAGTACAAAGCAGTGAATTGATTGACTGTCGCACAACCAATTCACCACTATCAATCAAGGAAGCTCTCTTAACCTAATCAGATTCCATATATCATAGGTTAAAGCAGAAATCAAGAGAATTTGATCAAGATTCAATTGACTCAATAAATCATGCCTCAATTGATTATAATCACACAATATAGCATCCAAAATTTCATACAAGAAAGATCCTAACACATGGAACTAGGGTTCCTCAAAACCTAAGTGCAGGGAAGTTACTCCATAGAGAAGAGAGAGACTGCAGAAATCTGATCTAGACCTTCAATCTCCATCTCCAAGCTTGATTCCCGAGCTCCAATGGCGAAGAAATCCTCCAAAATAGCTCCAAGAATGTTCCCAAGTCGCTCTCTCTCTAGGATATGTCCCTTGGGTGTTTAGGAACCAAAAACCCCGCTCTCCCCTTTCCTTTTGCTGAAAATCGGGTTTTAAACAGAAATTCCCGATCACGCGGCCAGGCCACACGGCCGTGTGGCTTTCCCATCTGCCCGTGTGAAGGCTCGGTGATTTCCACACGGCCACGACCCACACGGCCGTGTGGAGTTCCAGGATGCCCGTGTGGCTTGCTCATCCTATGTTTAATGCTTCGTTTCTCCCTCGTCCGGTCTCCGAATCAGTCGCCGTTTGATCCTAGACGCTCGTAGTCTCGTCCTCTTTCTTTTCATGACAAAATTCCATGATTATTTGTCCATAATATGAGGTAGAAGTCCATTATTCCTCAGGTTATGCTCGTGTTTCTTCTCCCGAATTGTCAAATGATCTCTGGTTGACTTGAAACTTGCGCCTATGCTTCAATTTACATGCTAGGACCTGAAATGTGACAAAGGAACACAACCTAGCGTAAAATAGTCCAAGAAATCAGAAAATCAAGCCAAAATGATCAAGAAAAGAGGGTGCAAACATGTGCAAATCCGATGTTATCAAATTCCCCCACACTTAACCGTTTGCTTGTCCCCAAACAAACCTAACTCAAACCAATGCAGCTCTCCAGACCTCAAGCCAGGATCATGAGAAGAAGTGGAAGTAAGACTGCCAGTTCATGGATAAAGGAACTCACACCAGTCACAACCAAGGACTCGTTGTACCGGGGTGCTCTTTCACTTCATTTCACCGTTGGAACCCCTTTTTGCACTTTCATTTACATTTCTTTTTCTCTTTTTTTCTTCATTCAATTGGCGGGGGTTCCAACTGCAGTCTTTTGTACGGTCGACCCTTATTAGTCGAGCAAGAGCAATTTTTGTACATCTGGCGCTTGCCAAAGTACTTCTTTTTACTCCTTTTCCTCAACTCATGTGGAGGGTTAATGAAATTAAGGGGGGTCGGAAGCTCTATCCGTTTTGTTTCTCTCCATTTTCTTTCCCTTCCTGTCCCGAAGACCGTTGACGATGTGACGAGCTCTGTTGTTCCACAACCGGTAAGGAATCCCTCAGCTCTTTACTTTTCGATCCACTCTTTCCATTTCTGGAGGTGACCGCATGATTTGTGGCCCCCGAATCCCTTTGTTTTCCTTTAGTGGGCGTCTCTCGCGGATTCTGCCGTCCTTTGCGCAAGACCAAGATCCACGGTCCCAGCCCTGCATTGGTCTGCGATGTCGCGTCCGATGAGAGATCTTGCTTCTCCCCGTCGGCAGACCCAACTATCTCCAGGATCGACGCTGGTTGGAGCAGGGGGCAAGTAGCAGTAGCGTGGCCGATCTTCCCGCATTCGAAGCAAACAACAGGTAGATTCTCATATTCAACCGACTTCCAATCATCATCTAACCATATTCTTGGAACAAGATGCTTGGAGATATCCACCTCTACAGCAGGTCGAGCAAACTTCGCCCTTTGTTGAGTAAGGGTGTCGTAGTCGAGTTTGATCGTGCGTCCGATCAGGTTCCCAAGGGTAGTCAGAACCACCTTGTGGTAAAAATGGATTTTGAGCTCAGGCAGTTGGACCCATACGATCATCGTCTCTGGGAGAGGATCAGAGACCTTGAATCGTGCGTCCATTGTTGAACGACAATGTAATGGTCAAAAATCATCCATGGACCATCCGCGAAGGCTTTAAAATAGTCCTGGACGTTGCTAAGTTTCACCAAGAAGCAAGCTTCATCTAGATCCCTGATTTCCATCGCCCCTGTTGGTCTCCATAGAGCTTCGAGACGAGAGCATAAGGTATGGAACACGATCTTGATACTTAGCAAACGAACCACCAGAGTGCAGTGCCAAGGGGCGCACAACCTGTTCTTGAACTCCGACGAAATACTCAGGGCCGGTTCGCCATTGCGCTCACTGGGGGATCAAATCATGCTCGCTGACCGGGGTCCATTGAATCGTCAGCGGTTGTGACGCCGGGACAAGTTGCCCACATGTGAGTGCACTGGCGTAGGAGAAGGGCTGTGCCTGCGCCGTCGAAGCCTGAGGAGGCGGTGAAGTCGTGAGAGTCAATTGTTTACCGGCTTTAGCGTTTGTCTCTGCCAAGGCTGAGTTCTCCCCCAAAGCGGTGTCGTCGGCGGATGAATCGACCATCATCGCTGTCAAGGAGGAGGGCTCTTTCATTGCCGTAGGTGAGCCGCTATCAACACTCGCGTTATGGATCTGACCCATGTTCGGCGGACGCCCCGTTGGGGAAAACTTCGGTGCCCGGGATGGATCAACACTTAGAGCATTAGTAAACATTAGTTAATAAGCGTTATGATATATCATATATATTAAAGTTAGTTGCTTACCAAATTTTGTGGCCTGTGGAACAACTTTAATTGATGTGAGATAATAAAGAGAGATTAAGTAGTAAGGGAACATATCAGGCCAGTAACCTTATGGTGAGTAACCATGAGTAACCCGTCCACATCAGTATGCCATCAACATTCCTCTCTTTCTTGAAAAGTCATTAATTTTCCCCTCCTTAATATTTGACGAACGATTTCTCACTTGTTTTAAGTCGAATTTTTTTTTTTGCACAGTAATATCAGATTAATTATGCTCTTCAAAATGATATTCACTTTGATATATTTTTGGAACAAATAAATTGGGCCATTTTTTACCAGTCTATACCATATGGTATTGACTGGTATTGAAATAAGAGCATACCTATGGTTTGAAAAGCGTACCATGGTGGTATGAACAAACCAAGACTATAGGATGGTTGAATACATGATATTAGAAGTATATTAACTGTCATTTACGACTTTTAACATTGTGTACTACAAGATACCACCCCGTACCAGGGTGGTATTTTGTGGTATTTTTTGGTCCTGTAATTTGTTCACCCAGAAATTTGTAGATCCAATAGATATTGATGAGCTCATTCCTTCTGTGCAAACGTTATAAAAAACGAATAAAAAATGAAGAAGATACAATATGGTATGCAGTTGGTACCGAGAGGCAAGAATTTTTTTTTCTCAAAAAATATTGAAAATGGATCTCGTTTTGTAGAGCACAACGAACTCGTTCCATCTGTAAAAAAAAAAAAATTGAAATCCGAATTAAAACGAAAAAGATATGAGTCGATTAAGAAAACAAGAGAAAATGAAAATGACCTTTAATTCTGCATTCATAGATCTAGATTTTCTTAATGAAGAGTTCAGATTTAGTTATTGATGGGTACATAATCATGGGTTATACACCTTATCTTGAGACAAGTAATAAGCGTGAGAGAGAGTGTAATTAAATAATAGAAAAAAGTAATTAATGCAAGGGTGAGAGAGAGTGTGTGTAATTAAATAATAGAAAAAGGAACATAATGAAACTCCTAGCAGCTAATTATTCGGTCCCAAAAGAACAAAAGCATTCCAAGATATGAGTCGACGATCAATGGGTGGGTTCAAGTTGGCAAGGCTGGATAGACAGTGGCGTAGCCAGAGTTCGAGTTTAGTGGAGTCCCATTTACGAAAAATCTTATAATATTGTATTCTATTTACGAAAAATCTTATAATATTATATTCAATTATCAAGTAAATTTACTTAAAATATATTCATTCAAATAGTCATTCATCAAAGCATTAGTTATTAGATTTGTACCGTATATTTTGTGTAACTCATAATTGAAAAGCGACATTTCAATAACTAGCTAAAATAAATAGTTCCCAAACGAAATCTAATACAGACAAACGTTTTACACATTTGATGAAAAAGAAATTGTATATTGATAGGAGAAAATTGTTCAAGCTTTTTAGAGATAGATGAAGGTTTTTGTACACATATTTAGTAGAATTAGAAATTTTTAGAATAAGGACTATAAAATTGGTGATTTTCAATGATATATGACTAATATAGCCTTTTTTTTTTTGTGTTTCATAATACTATGGAAATTAAATTTCAGATGAATGGGGTCCTAAATTCTAAATCTACCCAAATTAAATAAGTATGTACATACATATAAGCATTTTAATTTATTCAAGTGGGGTCCTAGGACCCCACTCCCTTCCACCTCCCTCCGCCACTGTGGACAGAGGGAGAAGCTGGAATGCAAACGAAAGCAACGGGCGTGAAGGGGAACAAAGTCGGGATTTAGTGGAGGTTGATTTTGTAAGCGGAGAAGCTAGGTTTATGATTGAGGAGGTTGGGATTTGTTTCTATTTTCCGGCAAGGAAAAATCTTTTGTTTGATTTCAATAAATGCACATTAACTTCTTGAACGACGATTAATAACACAATTCACTCCTCTCCGAACAATGTTCGAAAGAGGGCGTTTGATGTTTTTGATGGTTTTTTGGGAACAAACTACGTTAAATTACTCCTACTCCTATGGAGGTTCAGTGAGAGCTCCGAAAACTAAGGCTATGGCTAATTTGCAGAGAAATGATAAAATTTTGACATTGTGTGTCAAATGGTTGGTTGTGGAACCCTTGATTCATTTTCGTTTCTCCTTTCATAGTCATCTCTTGTAACTTTTATGTAACCGGCTCTTGGTAACCGCTGCTCCACTGCTTGGTGTTTGATGTAGCTTGCTTGATGCCTTGACTGTCTTGCGTTCTTGCCACTTGATACCTTGCACCTTGATGACTTCACTTGATAGCTAGCATAATACTTCACTTGATAGCTAGCACCTTGTGCCATGGAGGTGTCTTACTTGGTGAGTGAGGGCTTCACGCTTGGTGGTACTCATGCTAACCACCCTGGCATGACATCATGTTCGATACTAGGATGCTTGGGGGTTTGATGGATGCTCACTGGCCCCCTTGGGGGTGACATCATACTTGTAAGATCTTGACAAGGTGGTCTACCATGTGATGATATACATGGCTGACCACTTAGAAACTTAATGACCTTGTCTACTATGAACCATGCATAACTACCTATGAGACCTAGCATGCCTGCTACCTGTGATGATGGCACGTTGTGCCTACCCCCTGCTCTGGTTGGGTACTTAAGAGGTGAGTGTCAAAGCAATGCCGACACCAACTCTCCTTGCACGACATCATGCTTGACACCCTAGTGCTTGGTACTCGGTGTTTGACCCCTTTGGACGGTATCATGCATGACCCTCCTTGGATGATGTCATGCTTGAACCCCTTGTGGTTTGATCTTCATATTTAGCCGGAATTCCACCTCCTCCATGTCGGCCTTAGGGGTCTTCGTATGTCGGGTCTCATGGTACCTGGTGCTTGACCCCCCTTGTATGACATCATGCTTGAACCCCCTTGGGATGATGTCATGCTTGATCCCCCTAGCATGACATCATGCTTGAACCCTCATTGGATGATGTCATGCCTGACCCCCCTTGTGCTTGGGGCTTGATACTTGAGTGCAATGTAGGCGACCATGGTACTTGGTGCTTGACCCCTTTGCATGACATCATGCTTGACCCCCTTGGATGATGTCATGCTCGATCCCTCTTATGGTTGGGTCTCCATACTTAGCCAAATTTCGCTCCCACCATGTCGACTTGGGTGGTTGATGTTGAAGGGTGTCAACGCTTTGCACTTGTCCCCTCTTGCATGACAGGTGGGTGTTTGGTGGGTTAAGTGGTGTGTGTTGAGGTATGGCAGAAGTCCAAAATTCATCATTTAGGCTCAACTTAAACCAATTTAATTACTATGGTTAAGTTGGCCTTACAAACCACTACCACTCCTTGAAAATAATCAATGTGGTATTAAGTGATTTTTTAGTGGTAAACAAATGCCCCAAACTACTTAGTGCATAAGAATTATGGACTAAGTAGTTAACATCAACAACACCACTACAAAATTGCTCGTTGGTTTTATTAATAAAAACCTAAATGCACTAAGCCACTCATGCACCTTATTCAACCGTAGTTAGCATTGGCCTTTAAAATTAGAAGGAAAAAATCAATCACTGCCTTCACTATTCAATCCCAACATAACTCATGTGTCATGGCTAGCTATGAAAGCTCTATCCATAAAGAGAGTGTCATGTCATGCCTACCATCAGGATGGTTGCAATTATTTTATCAATTTGTTTGTAATCGGCATTAATTCACTAATATAGTTTATTATCAATTTAGTTCATAGTGATTTGTAATCTTTTGAAGTGTTGTCGTCAATCGTGCATGATTTGATAATGGTACATCTTATTTTTAAGCGTGTGCTATTATTAATTTGTCTGCTGAATTTACGTGTAATATTATCAATCTTAGTTTATTATTAACGATTCTTCATCCATTAGTAATATTTTCAAAGTCATGTTCAATTTTTTATTAGTATTAATCTGTCGGTTGAATTAACGTGTAGTATTAACAATCTTTGTTCATTATTAATGTACTTTCAGCACTAGTAATATTTTGAACATAATAATCAATTTTTTTGCAGTGTTATAAGATATACCACAATCGAAAATCTGTAAGAACAAACTTGTTGTCGGCCACCACGTTCGTCGCTTATTGATAGACCGATAATTATACATATTTTCACCCCTATTCTGGAGCCGTTTGTGATGAGGAATCTCGTGTTTTAAGCCGATTTCACGCTAGGTTGTGTGTTTATGTCATATTTCAGGTCCCGGCGTTGGAATCGAGGCGGAGATAAACGAGTTCTGGGTCGAAAGGAGCCG